GGTTTTTTATTTTATTGTTTTTGCTTGCAATTATTTAATTCATCATATAGCAATTGATGCTCTGTTTCTGATGAAAATGGATGAAAATGACAGGTTTTTACTGTCATAACCCCTCTAATGCGATAGTTAAATGTCTTATTAATGGGTACGTCGAAGGTTGTTAATGTAACTGTATGACTTGTCATTAACAAGTGATTGTGACAGATTGATATGAAGGATGACAACTTCAAGTAGAAAGCATTTATTCTATTACCTCCATTAGGGGGGCAATTTATTAATGGTGTAGAAGGTGAAATGCAATATGTTAGAAGTGATATGAGAATAAGAATGATAAAGGAAGACACATCATATGAAGAAGTTAGAACAATGGTAGCATCAATGTGGGAAAAGAAAGTAATGGAATGGTTATGAAATTTATAGTAACCTTTGATGAGTGTGCATTTATGGATCTTGTAAATAAAGTGTAAATTTGGTGTAGTTATATTGTACATATCTATAAAGTGGTAAATGACATCTGGTTATAATCTGATATAATATCATATCTCCATTTTGCTATACTTGTCAATAGGTTGTCATGGACTTGTTATCAGATATCGTGGAGGTTGTTATTGGCAGTTTGAATTAAGTTACTGATATAAAGTGACAATTTCTCATACTTGCCTTGTTTAATGATTTCTTAACACATGATTTTAGTATTCAAATTGTAATATGATATAATTTAGTTATAATTTAATTTTTGAAGAAGTTGTGGTATCCTATAGAGCGAGTTGTCAAGGGCACTACTGAGGTTGTTAATCACATCTTCTTAGGTTATCAACAGCCGTTGTTGAGATTGTAAATAAATATCTGTAATAAAAATCTGCTGTAATCCTATTCAGTTCACTTAAAGCTGTTAATGACTTCAAAATGCTTTCCATTATATTGTTAAGGTTGTTATATGTGCCGATAATACAATTTTTTTTAGAAGCTGTGGTATCCTGCAGAGTGAGTTGTCAGGGGCACTTTTGAGGTTGTTAATCACATCTCATCAGGTTGTCAACAGCCGCCATTGAGGTTGTAAATGAACCTCTGCAATAAAAATCTGCTGTAATCCTATTGGGTTCACTTAAAGTTGTTAATGACTTCAAAATGCTTCCCATTATATTATTAAGGTCATTATATGTGCTGATAATACAATTTTTTTAGAAGTTGTGATATCCCACAAAGTGAGTTGTCAAGGGCACTGCTGAGGTTGTTAACCACTTCTCCTTGGGTTGTTAAAAGCCGCTGTTGAAGTTATAAATGGATCTGACAGAGAGGACTATGATATATACCTATCATGTCATCATGATTAACATTTGTTTATCTAGTTTTATTAAGTCTTCATTTTTGGACATGATCTGGGTTTGAAATGAAGAATTTTGTGGTTATCAAAACACATGAATGCCATTAAAAAAACTTCATAACTAGTAAACAATGTCAATACACATTAACATAAATTAACATTCAGCTATCATTATATTGTTAAATAAAAAAAAAATCTGGACTTTACATTCAGCTGCCATTATGCTATCAGATAAAAAAAACTAAATGTGTACTTTATATTCAGCTATCGTCTGCTGTCAGATAAAAAAAACTAAATACAATATATGCTGGTCGTTTATTCCTTCCTCCTGTTTTGGGAGTTTCCTTTTAGCAAAAACAGTACTTGATCACCATGTAAGTTGTTCTGATGAGTTACAAGCCACCACAAGCATCCAACCTTCACGTCATGGATTTTTTGAGCGAAGTACTTAGGCATTGTGTAGCTATCATCACCATACTCACGTGTTAGATTGCACATGTACTTTTGCCCATATGACTTCCTTGTTAATTTTGTTGTTTTTGTCAAATAGTGCTGGCTTCACTCTACAAAGAATTTGGTAGAAACAATTCTCTGCAAAAAAGAAACCAAAAAAAGGCACAAGTTTGACAATAGTGAATGACAAGTAATCAGCAGACATTAAAAATCTTGACAATAGTGAATGACAAGTAATCAGCAGGCATTAATTGATAATTTATCAAAACTAATTCTTTTCAACCTTTTCATCTTATCTTCACTTTTCTTTAAGTGCTTGCAAACTTCCATAAATTATTCCGGAGCACACCATATGTGGAAGGGAACAATATGATTCTTCCCTTTTGGTGGGACTCTAATTTCTTTAGCCTTTTCACCATATTGTTCTTTCTCCTTTTTTGTTAACTTCCCCTACGCCTTTATCATTCTTGTTCTACACCACTGCCAACATATTTCATTTCACCTTCTACACCATTAATAAATTGTCCCCCTATATGGAGGTAACAGAACAAATACTTTCCACTTGAAGTTGTCATCCTTCAAATCAACCTGTCACAATCACTTGTTAATGACAAGTCATACAGTGACATTAACAACGTTTAATATACCCATTAACAAGACATTTAACTATCACATTACAGGAATTATGACAGTAAAAACCTGTTATTTTCATCCATTTTGATCAGAAACAGGACATCAATTGCTATCTGATGAATTAAATAATTGCAAGCAAAACAATAAAATAAAAAACCTGAAATGGCCTTGAGAACAGCTTCTTGAGGAAGACCTTAATTGTCATGAGAGGACCAAGACGACCGCGACTCTTGGTAAGAATAGTGGAGAGGTCATGTTGCAAGATGTCGACGAAGTAGGAGATGAGGGCTAAAGGAGAAGGGTGGGATTCAAACAAATGGGTGAATTTTTTTCCTTTAGTCATTAAGGCAAATTCATAATTGATTGTTTAAAATTATTCACACTTAGGTCCCTAGGGACTTCAGATTTGTTTTGCCATTTCATGGGACCTTTTAGTAGTAAAATGTTTTATGTAGGACTCCACAGTAATTTTCCCTATGATTTATTTAATTTTGGACAATAGTTTACTAATGTTGAGGACAATGGATTGATTTTTTTTAATTTAGAAGATTTGGACAATAGTTTAGCATTTTTTTTAAACTAATATTAATGGCTTGAAGTATGAATTTTATAAGGTTTATTATTTTACTATTATTCATATCGAAACAAAAACAAATATAAAAACTTTTTTAAACAGGCCTAAGAGCTTGCAGGCCAGCTTCAGCCATGAAGGACAACTTTGTAAAATGACTTTTAAAAAAGTGGGCCTTTAGGGCCGGCTCGCTTTCCTTGTGCTAATTACCACTTATATCAAGTCAATTTCATAACTTGAGATTCAACTCAAAAATACTCTTTTGTGAAATTCAAGCTTAACGAACAACATAAACCAATTAATCCTTAAATCTAACACATATAATAAGGTAACCCAATCATTAAACTTCAAATCAAACCATCACATTACCATTTTCATCATAAATCCCCATGTATCATTAAACCCTAGGTTGAATCTTCTCAAAACTTCAAAACCAAACCAATTAAATCCTTAATCTAGTCCATATAGCTCATTTAAGTTCAAAATGTTCAATTAAACTTCCCCCAAATCCAAAATCATCAAAACCCTAATTAAAAAACTTTAACCCAATTAAATCCTTGGTTTTGTTCTTTTAGATGTGATGAGGAAGAAACGATAGATAATCTCTTTATAACATGTCCTTGTTTACAGTCTCTTCATCGTGGATCTTTTTAATTAACCTCCGGTGACATGGATTCCATTGCTTCTCCAATTGGCTAAAATGAATTTTGACCCGGTTATACTGAGATGGACATGAGTAGTTATTACACGATATCATGATTCTAATCAACATAATCCAGAAGAAAAGGAATTTACCATTACATGAAAGGAAAATTGTTTATCCACTTGTGGTAACAAAAGAAATCGCTAGTATCAGAATCATTCTAATCTAGATTTTGCTTGTGAGAACCAATATCAAAAAGTTACATAGACATAGGATATCGCCTTCCCTTAATGTTGGATGGGTCTAATCTGTTACAATGGAACTCCCTTGCAGCACTTCATATGGCTTGGAAGAATTGCAGGCCAATTTTATTTCCACCACTTAAGAGCCGCTCTCACATGGATCACTAACTCTGGTGTTTTTATGAATCATGGACCCCTAGATATTATCTATGTTGAAAGGAAGTTCTCACAAGATCGTTGGTTGGCTCGTCACAACTTGAGTATAGTTTGACAAGACATTTTATCTTTGCGACAATTTTTCTCTTTCACCGCTGTTTGCACCTCCTCTTGAGGTTTCATACATCAGCCTCTTTTTCATTATTTCTTATAGTTATGTTTGCTCTATACTTTAATACTACCTCCAGTTCTTAATATAAGACCTAATTAACTGATCTAAAAAGATTAATAAAGTTACTAAATTACTTAATTATAACATATCTTACATGATCTCTTTAAAATACTTACATGAATTATCAGATCATATATCAGTTTTTCCAATTCTTATATTAAGAATCAGAAATTATATTACTTTTATTAATTAATATGCTGTCTTTTTAATTTTAAAATAAAACTAGACGCCTCATCGCTAATTATCAACATCAACAACTATTCTGATAAGGTTAACAGACATTATAAGGTTAATAGCCAAATCATTACTGTCATGAAGTCGCATCTCATTTTAGTCTAGGCTTGTTTGAATTAATATTAGTAAAAGTTATTTTTATTCTAACTGATCTTTGTAAACTAAAATTGATGGAATATACTTTCATTCAAAAAGTCGGTTTGATGTAAACTTTATTTGAATGGTATCTATATACCTCAGTTTTCAGACTGTTTACAACTTAAATCAGAAGAAAAGGGGTGGGGGGGAACAGCGTTTCAACTTCAAAGTAGTTTTTGGGTAAAAAGTCATGTCCTCGTAGAGATAACGAACATCTCTTTTGTTTTTTAACCGAATTTTTTTTTTTTTTTGGTTATGACTGACTTTTAAGACTTCCTAATGCTATCCCACCAAACATATACGTAGAAGGTCAACTCAAATTCTAACACCATGACAAAAATTAGAATACAGATTTCGCTCTTCTGAACTAAAACTAAGAGCTGAAAGCATTATATAGATTAAACTAATCTTCAGATGGTCATGAAGTTAGTAGCTTTACTTCAACTGAGCTATGGCCAACAGTCTTGGTAATCTTTTTATGCTTCATCAATTTTCTAGTCAAATGTACCTCCTCCAATCTACCGGCCATAGAATAAATATTAGATAAAAGAATATGAACTCCACTTTTACCTGGTTCAAGCTCTCTCAGGTGTCCTTTCACTTGATTAGCAACAACGATGTTTCCATGCATGCAGCAGCCATTTAAGAGGGAGCCCCATATGGGAATATTTGGTTTTATTGACATTGTCTCAATTAACCTTTGTACCTCTCCGAAATGCCCTGCTCGACTCAAAAGATCAACCATACAACCATAATGCTCTCTTTCAGGCAATATGCCATAAACCTTTGTCATTGAATTAAAATGTGTTTGAGCCTCTTCAATCAATCCCATATGGCTACATGCAAATAAAACTCCAACATAAGTGATATGGTCAGGGACTAATGTACTATCCTCTAGCATTCTTTGGAAGATGCTTAACGCTTCATTTCCATAACCATGCAGTGCTAATCCATTAATCATGCTAGTCCACACCACCACATCTTTCTTTTGCAACCTATTAAAAATCTTCTTTGCACTTGATAATTCTCCGCTCTTCGCATACATGTTTAGAAGTGCAGTAGCAATGGCAGCGTCCGTTGCCATGTTGCATTTCAACAAACATGCATGAACAGTTTGTCCCAATGATAGTGCACAAAGATGTGCACAAACACTCAAGACACTAAGAAAGGTAGCCTTATCAAGACAAAAGCCAGCATTCCACAAATCAAAGAAGAGTTTTAATGCCTCCCCGTACCTCTCATACTGATTGTAGGCACTGATCATAGTGTTCCAAGCAACAATATTTTTGTGAGGCATTTTATTGAACAAATCCCTTGCAATCCTCAAGCTACCACACTTGGCATACATTTCGAGCATGGCAGTTGCAAGAATTATATTACTATTAGACATCAACATAAAGGGATCATGGCCAGATTTACGGATCCGATCATGGACATGCTGCCCAGTATCTATGTCTCTACTACGAGCACAAGCAATCAAAACATTCACCATGGTGATTTCATTAGGCTCTACTCTCCAATGATCCATCTCTTTAAACACATCTATAGCCGTACCAGCCATATTATTATTAACATAACCACCAATCAAACAAGTCCAAGCAACAACATTTGACTTGGGAATAGCATCAAACACTTTCAACCCTGATTTTATATCTGCACATGACACGTACATATGGAGTAAACATGTTGTTGCATAGGCTTCTTCTTCAAACCCAGACTTCACCATGCAGTTATGAATGCATTTTCCAAAATCTTGATCAGCAATTGCTGAACTTGCTTTGAGTACAAAAGGGAAAGTAAAATGATCAGGTGGATATCCATTTTGTATCATCTGTCTGTAAAGAAGTATAGACTCTCTTGGATTGGAACTATTAGCATAACCTCTTATCATGGAGTTCCAAATGTAAACACTGGGGACATCAACATGGCGAAACAATAAGCTTGCATAATCCATGTCCCCAGACTTCGAATCTACACAGAAGTCAATCAGCTTGCTTATGGGGATAATACTTTTGATCATTGATGTTGTGACCATCATCCCATGCAACTGGTTCAACTGACACATATTTTTGCATTTTGGTAACAGAGAAAGAACAAATTTTTGGGGCCTCATCATCAAGTTTTTAACTTGTCCCAATCCTACATCTGGGCCCCCAATGTTCTGTTTCTGGACAACATTTAGAAAGACCAGAAAATAGTATACCTTTGCAGTCCCCTCCAAAATAAACTAAAATACAACAGTGGAAACTTAATTATAACAGCTCGATTTCTGGCATCTTCCTCGCTCACTCATGCAATCCCTATCAAGCTTACAAATAGTCTTCCTATCCTCAATAATATGGAAATCTAAAGTAATTTTTTTTTAAGCTTCCTAATAGATAAACCAAGTTCTGAGTTATGACCTCACAATGCTCAGCATACAATCACCCAAAAAAGGCTCATCATTGCAATAAACTCTTAAGTCACCCAACCAAATCCTTAGAACAAGAAAGTGCTTCATCTCCTGCCAGTGTAACAACACAATTTCACATACGGTCATAGAATCTGCATGTAATGGCAGATGACTTCTTCAATTGCTACTGGGACAGACGAATCATTCTTTTAATATAATCACCTGTAGGCACCCAACAGTTCAGTTATTTCCTTCATTATAAGAATTAAAAATTTAGGGAATATGCAATAATCTGAAATAAAAACAAGAACCAGAAATCATGGAAATTTTGAAGTACGTCCAAAATTACATATATCAAGTAATTTTATACTTGATGCGATAATACAGAGAAGTCCTAGGACATATATTTACAGATTTTCTTTCCAAAAAGTTACTCATTACAAAGCTCATCATTTCTAGGCAAACCCAGCATTCATAGAGTAGAAGTTAATGATATAATTATAAACTATCCAAATTAATAAAAAATCCATCAATTTCAAACGAAGAATATACTATTGACTAGTACTGGGAATACGGGTCGGCCTGAACCTGCAAGCCGGGCCCATCACGGGCCGAAATGTCTCATTTTGCTAGGCCCAGCCCTTGAGCTGACAGGCTCAAGGCCAACCTGTGGGCTTTCGGCCTGTTTAAGTGTCTAATGCAATTTTTTATATTTCTCATATTTTATCAAACTAATGAAAATAAAACAATGAAATTATTAATAAAAGGCATAAATATGAATAAAATTAGGTTATAAACACAACATCATCATATCTAAACATGCATCGACATCCAAAACATCCAAGAACATCTAAAACATCCATCAACAACATCCAAAAGTTCCATCAACAGTGTAATAGACAAAAACTAACTGGAAGACATGATGCTAATAAAAATCACAAAAAGTTACAAGTTAGGATCCTCTCAATGTATAAAAAGATAAATTCTCTGGATGTAGTATTGTAGAACTCTTAAGAATCAGAAGGGAGGTAGGGGAAGAAGGGAGAAGGGAGATAGAATAAGAGACGGGAGAGAAAGGAAATTCACACTAAATATTCATTGATTAACAATCAACAACGTAACAATGGGGTACTCTGTTCACTATATGTAGATAGCTATAAGACGTAACATACTAAGATTGACTAACTATTCCTAACATTCTAGCCTTAAGGCTTTATAGACTTAGTTCGCCCAATTATTAATAATCCCTTATGGCTCATTGAATTAGTAAAACCACAACTGAACCTAATATTCCCAATATCTATACTTACATAACATCTCTTCAAAATTAAAATTCCAACTTTAAATTACAGAAAAATACACACCCATATAATTCTGATTTTATTGTACAAAACATTAACTTCACTTGGCAATTTTTAATCATGACTTATGGCTATAGCGCTTAGGAACTACGATGGAGTAGCACGCTCTCCTAATTTTTTTTTTTTCCCCAAAAAAACTCATCAAAAGTATCAAACTTCTTTCACTTGATCAAACTAGTATCATCGAAATTCAAAAGGATCGAATTTCTACAATGAACGGTCATGACAAGCACGATTCAACGTATAGAATCAGCAAAAAATAAAGCCACGATGAAAATGGCTAGCACGCAAAGTATTGGGTGTATCAAATTTGCCCAACATCACAGATTTGAACTACAAGACAAGCGCACGAGTGAAGTGAATAAACAAGAAGGACAATGAATGAACAGCAACCAACACCAGAAACGATTTACATCAGAAAAATCATGCAACTGATTGTTAAAGCAAGAGAAGCAAACGAACACAAAAAGGTACTGGTCATTCCAACATTTACATCAGAAATATATATGTGTGTGTAAACAAATATAACACAAAGTCTAAAAATACTAACAATCAACGCACTGGCAAAGCGAGGGGAAAGGTGGTCGCTGCGTGACGTATAGGGTCTGGACGGACTCACGCGAGGCGAGGGACACGGCGGACTCAGGGTTCGCTGGTCGACGCTGACAAGAAGATGGCGAGATGGAGAAGGAGTAGCACGGCCTCCTTGACGATGATGAAGCTGCTGCTCAAGTCGACCGTCGCAGACGCAGGGGCAGCCGAGGCGAAACGCGAGATGGTAAGGCGAGATCGAGAGGATGTGGTCGACTGGGCGTGAGGCATGAACCGATTGGGCAAAGTGTTAGAGCCTGTCTGGTTTGAGAGGAGCCAGGGTGGGCGAGGTTTTACTTTGTTTAGGCTTTGTTGGGTCTAATAAAAAGGAGGGGGAGGGAAGGTGAATTAACCCCCCGCTTGGATATGAGAAGAAAAGTTGAGAGGAAAGAAAATAAAAAGAAGAGAAAACTGAAAAGAAAATATTATCACTCTTCCTGTTTGGATGAGTGAGAGAAAACAGAGAGGAAAGAAAATGTATAAATATCATAATGATTAAAATACCCTTATTATAATTAATTGGCAAGGAAACTAAATAATTTAGCAAAAACATTATTTTTCTATGTAAAAATAAAAAGGAAATATTTTTTGAACTTCATTAAAATAAAAGGAAATAAATAACTTACACATCATGTAATATTTTAATAAAATGATAAAAATCAAATAAAATTAAAGATCATAATAACATGAGAAATTGATATCATGAAAAATGTCACTAATAATATGACTAAAATTAATCTTGATATTTATAGAATAAAATGTCTTACATCATGATCATGGAATATTATAAATAAAAAGGTGGACATGCCATTTACATCATGAGCATCATGATAAAAGGTCTATGTTGCCTAAACAAAAAATGGCCAATATGTCACTATACATTAGAAACATCATGACAAAAGATATATATTTCCTAAACAAAAGAGGCCAACATGTCACCATATCACAAAAAATCTATGAACAAAAAAAGTCCAACACCATATTCATGCTTTCTTCAATGATTCCTAGCATCAGTCATCAACCTGAGCAATGTCTACAACCGTAAATGAGGTGGAACTCCAAAAAAATTTAGCTTGTGTCTTTCTTCATTACACAAGAAGAAGTAACATTCTAATTTCTGCTCTTCAGGTATTCCAATTTCCTCAATTGCAGCCCATACTTCCCCCTCGCTATAATGACGAGGCCTGCTCTTTTCAAGTATTGAAAGACCCTTTTAAGCAATTTGAGCTTGTTTCTCAGCAATTTGAGCTTGCCACTCAGCAACTTGAGCCTGCTTCTCTGCAAGTTGAGCCTGTCTCTCAGCAACTACATTGCCATCACGCATGACATCGACCAATTCTTTTATTCCTGCAGTCATTTTTTCACACCTTTCTTCAATGGATTCAATCATTGAAGCCTTACGCTTTTGCCCCCTAACTAATGTAGTTCCCACAGATGTCCCATTTGATGGGCTATCGTCTAAGTTAGCTTGTGAATTTGGTGACTCATATTGAAAATTACATTCACTTTCAACATTAGTTCCCCCGACATTAGAGTTCCATTGTGCAACCCTTTCCTTGCCACTTTTGGAGTATTTTCCTGTTGTCTTGTTGTCTTGTCCGCACTAAACAATTCATATAACTTATCATAATGTAGCATAGGTGCATTCTTCCACTTTCTTGCATTTGGCTTTCTCTGCAAACATAAGTAAACTATGTAAATCAACCTATCATACATGGTCTTAAAATTCTACAAATTACTCACCTCAATCAAATCATGCCAAACTTGATTATCAGCTTCAAACAATTTTGTGATAGGACTCCATGAAAACCGACTCAATCCATGAAATAAATCATAAAGCTCTGCAAATCGTTGCGATAAAGTCTTCTTCCTATTTTTCAAATGTTGCTTTGTAATGTGAGTACCAAAGTTGTTTGTAAGAGTTTGCACCATATTATCATATGCATATGTTGAAAATGTTCCATTTGGACGATTCCCTTTCATCGTCTCTTCCAATAAGGCATCAATAAAACATTCGTCCATCTCAGAAGTCCAGCGCAAATTGTCCTTCATTGATTCCTTCTTCTTTTGTGTCATTGTTCAATAATTTATTGACAAAATTATAGCCATACAACTTAAATAAATAGTGCATGCAAACTAAAACCAAGAAACATATACTTTCAATTAAAAATAGTATGTAAACCAATACAAAGAAACACACACTTTTAATTAGAAATAGTATATAAACTAATACAAGGAAACAAATACTTTCAAACAATACAAAGCAATAACAATTTCACAACCATACAACTTAATTAAATAGTTCAAATCATAATCAATGTGACATATAGGCTAAGTAATCATGCCATATATGAGCTGTTATGTTATCTCTAAAATTGATCATTGTCTATAGTCCTCCTCTTGATTGGCTGCAAATTGATCATCCATATTGGGATTGCGTGACAGTTCACGATCAACCTCTGATATTAAGGCCTCATCAGGGTCCACACCCATTAAAAAATTGTGTAATATGCAACAAGTTATCATAATATCAACCATTGTCTCAATTGAAAAATGTGGCTCTGTGCCACTGCCAATTATGGGAATTTTTTTTTCAAAACACCAAATGTTCTTTCTATCACATTTTGCAAGGAAGCATGTCGATGGTTGAAAATTTCTGTTGCATTTTGTGGTGCTCTTGTTGAATATTCCTTCAAGTGATAACGAACTCCTCTGTAAGGTGTTATAACACCATGCTTGAGTGGGAAGCCAACATCCCCAAGATAAAATTTTCCTAAACAATATAAAGTAATCCATAAGCACAAATAAATATTCATAAAAAATGAAATAATTATTTATAGTTCCATACTAACCCTGGGGAATTATAATTTTATCTTCTCTTGATAAAGCATTTTTAAGAATTCTTGAATCTGAGGCAGTTCCTTCCCAACCAACTAACACATATGTGAATTTCATGTCAAACGAACATGCAGCAAAAACATTTTGAGTCGGATAATCTTTATGTCCTCGAAAACGAGCAGCTTCTTTTTTAGGTACTTTTGCCCGAGCATGAGTTCCATCTATTGCTCCAATGCAATCCTATTACAAATTTTGGTTACACATAACATATATATTGTCCAATTACAAAAGTATGCACAGATATAAAAACATACCTTAAAATATGGGTAGAATCGTTCATTATTAAGGATTTCTGGAGAAACCTCTGAGCCAGAAGGTTGCACAAGAAATTCGGCCTCAAGAGAAACAATAACTTGTAATACATTATGAAAATGACGACTAATAGTTTCTCTAGACCGATTAAAATAAAAAGCCATCGTTCTACTTTTTACATTGTGTGCTAATGTGTGAAGAAATTTTGCCACCTGCTCCTCCACAGTAACATTTTTAGAATCTTTAACTCTACCAGTATTTCGAAGTTTAGCACATAACTGCATAAATGCTTGTGGTCCCATGCGAATAACATCACGACATTTTTCTGTTTCTTCTAATTGTTTCATGAATGCTCTCCTAATGCTTTCTCTTTCAACATTACTATACCTATCAACTAGTGTTAATATCTCTTCCAACAAGTATAGTGTATGTACAATATAACAAACAAGTTGTACAATACACATTCGCCTACACCATTCCCAATCTTGTAGCACATGGTTGAAGTTGAACTTGAAATTGAACTTGAAATCAGGACCTTTAGTTGCCACTTCAAAATTTGTGAACCTTTTAACTTCAGACTCAAAATCCAACATTTCTTCCTCAAGATCCTTGATCATTCCTTCTTTATTATGGTTGCTCATCTATAGAACAATCCAAAACCACACAAGCACATACACATGTTGCAACGAATAATAGTAATATATACCATTAGCATAATCCACTAAGTGCAATCATAGTAATATATACCATTAGCATAATGCCCATCTCGTTATTCTACCTCACCAAATCATATTTGTAGTTTCAGTATCTCTATAAACATTGCGCCCACAAGAAGAAAACAAAAGACAAAACATATATTATTATCTACTAAAAACGCAAATGCTTTGAATTAGTATTGTCAAAACATATACCATTCTCGCACACACATGCACATATATGTATATAAAACGTTGGGGTTAATCATAATCACATGCACGTGTGCGTTTCTAAACTTTCCGCAACTAGATTCTAAAATTGAATATTCAATATCATTAAAATCTAATCAAAACCTGGTGACCAACGTTTTGACAACCATGCATTTGTTTTGTTTTCTTGTTAGTGCAATTTCGTAGCTATATCAAGGAACAATGATGATTCAATAAACTTTTCTAGTATGTCAACACAATAAGCCCCAAAAAGGGAATTATATTCAATCAAAATTCTCACTATAATAATAATAATAATAATGATCCCGACACCTCACAAGAAAAGGTCAAATCACTAAGAACTTTTACCTCTTTGGTAAAAAGTGGGTAGCAGATCCAAGGAAACTTCACTAGAACCCAACAAATTGGTCTGGTTGTTGGAAATTGTGCCTTAGGGGCCAATCATTCTGTTTTGAACATTGTTAATTTATGAATTTATTAATTAAGTTATCATATTATTTGCATGTTTACTGTGATGACTATCCTTGGATAACTCATGGTTTATCCTAAATGTCCCTGGTCGGTCATCTATGTGGGAGCAAAGATGAAATAAGACCAGTATGACTTTAAAGATATATAGAGATATAAGTTAAAGTCATAGGCACATGTAAGAGTACAAGGTGTTGGACCGACCCGCTATGAGAGAGCTGCATGGGTTAAGTCATAAGCTTCTCTCATGTACAAACCACGTCACTATGCCCTTTGACCTGAGATCATCATGGATTCCTACATGAGAAACGCTTAGCTTTGACCTAGTCAAAAGTCACTTTTGACCGAGTGATCATAAAGACTATGTTCAGGCTTAGTGGTTTTTCATGCGGAGGAATGTGAATGGTCAAGATGGAATTTGTCCCTCACATTCGTAGAGAGACATTACTGGGCCCCTCGATGAGTGAGTCTGAGAAATGTATAGCCATACTATAATGGAAAGGTAGTTCCGTTTCTATACTCAGACTACTCAGGGATCGAGAAAGTAACGGTCATGAATAGGAGGATGACGTTCTCCATGCCTCATCCATGACCAAAATGTCGTGTGACAAAAGGGACGTGATATGGTTGTATGAAAGGTTGCATCGTTCAATGATCCTCATATGTTTTGGGTAGTCGTGATGTCTTACTAGAGACCGCTTACGACTTGTGAGTCATTATAGTTAATGGCCCACTGCCAACTTCATATGGGCCTACAGGGTCGCACACAAAATAGCCCAACACGAGTTATGATG